CACCTTGTACCTGTAGAATTGTTGGAGAACCTCGGTCCTGACTTCAGTGGAAGCACAATCACATTTTAGAGACCTCCTCACAAACTCTATCTAGTCCTTGCATGTCCACAACATATGGCTATCTTCAGGTTGTGAAGAAACCTGTCTAGTATCTGCATAACCAATTTGTGACCTGATGTGTGTCTCAGATTTGTTGTCTTGGTTTGCTTTTAATGTGCTTTGAGTTTCATGAGTTAGAAGCTACCAAAACACCACTTGGATACAGTATTAGACTGATATTTAGATTTATGTGAAGGATAGGTGAATAAAATAAACTTTCAAAAGCACAAATGAGCGCCAGACTCAAAACCTGTCAAATCTTTACAAAACCTGTTTCCCTCCTGAAAGACATTTTGAGCTCAGCTTTCAGATTATACTAGAAAAGTGCCTGCATTAGAAAGGGACAAATTGTTTTCTGTGGTCATAAAAAGATCTCAGCTGACTATAATAGGAGTGTAAAACAACAAGCTCAGATAAACACCTCAAGTCAGACACCCTTTATACCTATGTAAGAACTGCCTTTCCACTCACCCTTAGTCTTTACCCATCGTGACTGCTTAGGGGAGATACAGGCTGTTAGTGGTGACTGGCATAGAAACAAGGGAGCCAGCACAACCAGAGTGATGTGCTGATGTGTCCTGGAAACACAGAGTGTAAGACATGAGATGGTTCTCTGCGTTACAGGACCTGTGGCAGTGCAGCACTGCACGGAGCTGTGCTGAGGCAGCCAACCTCCTTCATGCCCGGAGCAGAGCCACGGTTTCCAGCTCAGGCATCAACATCCCTCTCCATTCATCAGTAAGGTCAAGCTCTGTGCTGAGTTCCTGCTGTGAGTGTAAGGATCTTCCTCTCCATGTTGACTCTTCTCAATAATGAATATTAAATAAGTTGAGAGGACTGTGTAGCTCCTACTAATTTTCTTGTTCCCTCAACACTGACCTGTTTCATTTCAATAAAGGATTTCTATAGCCTTGTCTGCCGCATTCTTTAATTTTCCAAGATTTTATTGTAATTTACATTATATTTCATAACGAACATTTTAAAATATTTTTATGAGTTCTAATTATTTCAAAAGGTTTTTTTAAAATAATCTCTTCTAAAAATATTATCTACAAAGATCCTTCAAGACACTTTAGTACTGTGTGCCACTAAGTGAATCGCGTGTTGAGTGCACAAAGCAATTGCTAAGACTGTCTCACTCACAAACTATGAATGACTTTTTCTTAAGAATGTGCTTCATAGCTTGAAATTCTCATCAGTCATTTCACCTATTTTAGCTACAAAAAAATTATATATTCTTTTCATATGCTGCATGGAAGTTTTTTAGTTTAATAGAACAGTCTTTAGTTTCACACCATTGGTTATACCAATTATCTTCCAGCTGCAAGGACCCTCTATAGAAGAATACTCAAATCCTCAAAATCTGCTGAGAACTCACAGTTGCCCTTAATTCAGAGAAAAGCTCAAGGCATTTGATTCCTTCTCCTTACAAAACCATACCTGTGAAAAAGTTCAGTAGGAGAATGGTGACTATTTCAAACAAATGCAGAAATAAATTAATACACATTTCTTTTTCAGTTGTGCATATAAAGCATGACTTACTCTTTTAGTTAGCTGGGTGTCCATCATGAAATTATGCACATGTTTTTCAGCTTTGGTAAGTTCTAACTTCCTTGCCACCACAGCTACCACCAGTGCAGTGCACCCAGCACCCTGAAAACAATAAAACAAACCCCCAATATGTTACTACTGCATTTTGCAGAGTTTTTAGTGGAAGTTTCTCCTTTCCTGTAGAAGTATGGCAGGCATCAGACGATTCATCCCTGGTAAATATAGTGAACACGCTACACCTATTTCAGTTCAGAGTAATAGGAAAAGTCAGTAATTACAGGCTGGTAAACTGTCAAGGCATCAAAATAATTAGTGAGCAGCATCATTTAAAAGTCCTGGTTGGTTTTTTTTCCTGCAGGGGTTGAAAATTTGAACACATCCCATTTCTAGTGCATAAACAAAGGGGGTGATCAAAACAACTTTTAAACCCCAGAATATTACTAAATTAATGCAAAATACCCCGTTCTTAACAATTGTCTCAAGGTTACAGCAATTGCTAAAGAGGAAATAAAATTAAATTAGTATTTAGCCTACAAAAAAAGAAAAGTTTATTAGGATTTTCTGTAGGGTCTAAAAATAATAACTTCAGTATTTAATAACTTTAGAGTACTTCCCAGTTGTTCTCCGAGTCCTTTCAATGACCTTTTCCTATAGTATTTCTGCTTATCCTATTACCATGTAAAATAGCACACATACACAAGACCATTTTTTCAAAACTTGAATGGAGAAAATACCAGTTTTCTAAGTCATTCTGTGTCTGTGTATGCATATGTGTGTATATATACGGACATGCACATTCACAACAGGTCAAAGCCGGTGGGTGCCTGCCCCTTTGAAATGACAGTGCCTTTATCAGCATCACAAATTTAATTTTTTTTTTGGAGGGGGAGAGGAAAGGAAAGGTGGCTAAAATGAGACAGGTAATGGGAAGCATCTCTTGTTACACATTGAAACTTACCACATTTTAATTGGTAGCGCTTTCTTACACTC